TTAATGTTTCAAAGCATGCACGGGACTTGTAATCTAACTGCTTCTCATCTTGGTCCTGGTATTAAAACTTAAACATGTATGACAAATTATGGTAAAAGATAAATCAGTCAAATCGATAGCGAAGACGAAACACAATATCAGCAAATTTAGACAATTTATATGAATATAAACGACATATCAAATTTTTGTTTTCTCCATAAAGATGGCAACATTTATAATCATGTTAAATTAGATCTCACAATAATGGAAGAAATGGGTACAGCAGAGTGCAAAGAAAAAGATGAATAATAATATACATTTTCAAGAAAGTAATCGGATGGTATTTTGCATTTTGAGAGGTTAAATTTTGATAATTTTTAATGTGGCGTTGAGAAACACAGACCGCTCTCGTTACAATAAGTGGTTTCGCTTTTCGGTGAAAGAGTGCGTACAGTACGGAGGAGCTGACGTTACCGCTTTGGAATCACAACAACATTGCAATGCAATGCCAATGCCCTACCACGCAATACAGTACAGATCAACGGGAATACACGACTATCACAACTTGTCTCGACCAAGCCACAAAACGACTTTTATCATATTTAAACATTTCATGTTCTATCCATGTTCATGGTGTTATAGTTAAGAATCAATAATCGAGAATGAAACTCATCGAAGAGCCGTTCGCGTTGAAATGCGTCATCCTTCTTTTCCGTCCCCTGATGTGATCATCGCATGCCATCTATACAAGCTCGCTGATTGGCTGTTGATTCACTCGGGGCGTCATTGGGAACGCCCGTAGATCTGAACGGTCCCTCAGGTGTTACTGAACTAGCTTCTTGATTTTGCACACGAACCGCAAACATATAGCTCCGTTTAGTCTCATTTCACAACGCCCCCTATCGTCAGAGTCAGCAGCCATACATGTTAGCCTATGGACGTTTTTTTTTAAAATCGTTAAAAATTCTTTTTATTTTGTTTACACGAAAAGCACATCCACCCCGACGTACGTTATCACTAGCTCTTTCATTGGAGCCCTCATGTCTCATTGACTTTTGAAAGATCACCCACTGTAATTTTTCAAAATAGGTTGCAAGCTCGCCATTGCCTATAATACACATGTGAAACAAGTCGAACTTTGGACTCAGTCTGCCATGGGATTGTAAGATTATAGGTCAAGCACACGAAGGATAAGAAGCATGAATTATCAATTATCACTTCTGATGTGTTCATTATGTCTATTTCATCCAACACCCCACCGTAATTTTTCCATTTAGTAAAAGCAAACATTTTTCCGATTTTAGCAAAAACATGAATATTCATGAACGGTCAGACAATACAGCCTGTCAGTACGTAACGTATAGTGAATGGGAATGGGCAATGATCCGTCCAGGAGGTAGAGGCCAGTGTTTTGTGCTGGCAATATTCACGCGAGCGAAAATGAGACAATCGGAGCAATATGTTCTCCGTCCACGTTGAGCTTGCGAAAACTCCCTATTAAGTCGCTGACTACCGCTACTAATCAAGTACATTTGTTTACGTGCAGTCGTCCAGAAGGAGACGTAGTTGGTGTTTCCCTGTATTAGTCAGTTTACACCCCCTTCAACATTGACTTTTATTTCGTGTTAACTCTTACTTTTCAAATATATACATGTGTATTTCCCAATGCTTTGGATTAAAAGACAAGAGAAATGAAAGTTGGAATATGTGAAAATATGCATGACGACAACATGTTGAGAGGGTACAGAACAGAGCAGAATATGATATTAGGCAAAACTCAAACTTTATTTGATGGCTATTCTATTCACTGTTACAAACATATAAACTTGAATAAAGATAACTGTAAGAAGTATGTATTCAAGAGACTCTTGAAGATTTTCAGGGTAGAGCATCCCGAATGTCCTGTGGCAGATTGTTCTAGGGAGTTACGCAGAAAGTTGCTTAGCGATTGCGTCAACGTTGATCGATTCAGTGTTTTATTTTCGAATCCCTATGTATGTACTTGTAACCAATTAACCTTTTGAGAAAGCGGATGTTAAGCCGGTAATTTCGGTTTCCTGTTGGAAAGATATTACGTGGTCCCACCTACCCAAAATAAATAACGTTAAATCTCTCTGTACTACGAGATAGACTCTGACTCCTACTTGAAATCCTTTATTGTGTTTGAATTCGTTTTCAAAAGATTTAAACAAGGGCTTAAAAGGTTTTCTTACCTTCACAAAACTCACCTTTTACTGTGTTAAATGAAAAATTTGATCTTTTGCATTTTTCTTTTGATTTGATTTGATTTGATTTATTTATTTCTGTTTGATTTTCTTTTTCTTTTGCATTTTTACAAATATATAACAAACAAATATTGCAAATTTACACATGACAAAAGAATATATGTAGAATAAGGTAAGGCTGGGTGTAACTAATCGAGAACATCAAACAGGAGGGTTGACAAAATAAGCAAAGCTTGATAGTATGACTACCCTCAAAGGATACATAATAATACAAATATGTAAGAACAAAATATTGGTAAAAAGGGGGAAAAGACAGAAAAAAGAAGAGAAAAGAAAGAGGGGATGCACATCAATATTCACAGACTTATGTGGTAGTTGGATTTCAAATTGATATATAAAGATTTTAAATAAGAAAAGAAATGCAAATTTGAATACTGAGTGGCCAACTTGGGATACAATAGAATGAGAAGACTCTCAAGGTTCGGACGGTAAGAATGTGAAAGTAAGATCAACCAGCTGGTTTTAAACCTGGGCCTGCGAGTCAGAGCCTTGAAATGTTTGTATAGAAGACAGTGTTTATTCAGTATCCCAAGTAGGCCACTCTTTATTCATATGTGTATTCATACCAGGTCATGGAAGGTTATAATCAACGTTTCAATAAATGGAAGCAAAAAAAAGTAAACAGTACAGAAAATTATCGAGTTTTGTAACGATGGGTAAACGAGGAGAATTTATTTTGTTGATGGATTTAAAGATAATGAGCAATAAGAAACTTTTTCACCGCTCTTTTAAAGGATAGCATTGTATTCATCGTTTTTATTTCAGGGGGTAGTGCATTCCAGGTATCAGGGCCAGAATGTCTAATTGAGTTTTGAGCTAAGGCTGTTTTGGCGTTAAATAGGTGATAGTCATTGGAATGCCTGGTTGGGTAGGAATGAAAATTAAAATTATGTTGGAATAAAATGACTAGTGATGGGGGAAGATTGCCGGATTTAAGTCGAAACATGAACACAGATTTTTGCATGTAGTGTATATCACTTATTTTTAGAGTTTTTAATGTGGCAAATAAAGGGTCAGTGTGGTCGCGATAACCTGCATCGGTACAAACTCGAATTGCTTTTTTCTGTAACAGTAATATACGATTAGTATTGCACTTATGAGTAGCCCATATGATATTGCAGTAAGAAATATATGGTAAAACCAGTGTATTATATAGCATACTAAGCACATGTGTTGGCAAAAAGTATTTTAGCTTAAATAGTATACCAATATTGCGAGAAATAGGGGTAGAGATATAATTCACATGATCATTCCAGTTACATTTTTCATTTATATATACACCTAAGAATTTCGTTGATGACTTTTTTTCTATTGGAACATTATCGACAAGCAGCTCAAAGTTATAAATATTGTGATTTCTTGAGTTTCTAAAGTGAATAAAATTGGTCTTCGTTAGGTTCAATGATAATATGTTGCTTTTGAACCATTTCGATAACTTAGGTAATTCAGTGTTCATGGTTGCGATCATCGAATTTAAATCGGAATGTGAATAAAATACATTTGTATCATCGGCAAATAATATATACTGTAGAATTGGTGAGACATTAGAAATATCGTTAACATATATCAAAAATAATAGTGGCCCAAGTATGGAGCCTTGCGGAACTCCACATTTAATAGATGATACGTTAGAAGAAACTGAATTGAATAAAGTATATTGTTTTCTTGATGACAAGTAATTTTCGAACCAATCAAGTGCTTTACCTCGTACACCGTAATACATAGAATGACTAGGGGCAGCGGCGTAGCCGTTGGGGGGGGGGGGTGCTTTAAATTACTGTTATAAAAGAGTGCCAAAAAGGCAAAATGAAATGGTATAATTCTGAGTAACCGTATATAAGCTCTGTAATTAGAATGCCTACTTTAAACAATTATCTAAAAATGTAAATGTTAACTTTTTGCGGACTCTAAATTCCATTACATTCCGGTAATAAAAGAATACTATGTACCTGTTTTTTCCCTTTCCAGGAGAAAAGTTGGGAACTCCTGAGCTCCTTTATAGAAAACAATCCGGGCTATCCTGCTTATATGCTTTCACACATATCATAGACATAGGGGAATAGAAAGTTTTTTTTTTTCTTTGGATGAATTCATGAAGAATTGTCTTTGCCTTAAAGGTACTATGTCCCATTTGCAGGTCAAAAAAATGAAAAAGTTAAATTCCAACTGCATTTGAAAGATAATACTAATTTAGAACTTTCCTAAAAAAGGTGGGGCTTGAAAATGTCTTCAAGTGGGAAAATAACAACTATTCGTTGTCAAATCGACTTTAGGGCTATAGAGCCCAAAAGTAATAGTCTTGATTTTCAGACAATTGTACCGAATGGTCATACGTTTTATGCTGCGCAAAGATTCAATCAGTTTAATCTTGGCCATCACAAGAAGTAGGTTATTGATGTAGACAAATGCTCATGTACCCTTTACAACTATTTTCATGTATGTTATTACCAAAGAAGAAAAAAAGCCAGTCAGTCACTCAATAGTGTCTGACAGTAGAGTCTAACAAGTAAATGGGTTTCCTTGCATAATTTGAATATGAGGACACTGCTAACGTTTAAATTTCACAGATAGGACATACATGACATATTTATAATTCCTGCAAAGTTCTACAGAATTAGAGGTTGGCTGCAAAAGGGACATAGTACCTTTAATATCCGAAACACTTTCATATTAACTAATTTGTGTTAGCCCCCCCCCCCCTGCCTTAAAAGAAAAAGGAAGTCGCTATTTTCCTGAAACCACAGGCTTCGGTTTAGTCAACGGGTTTAGTCAACAGTGACGAGTTTCTCAGTACTTTCCATTTCAGCGTGCATACATGTTTATTACATTTTTAACCAAAATTGAATAAAGCTGCCATTATGGACGCACAGCAAAGTCTGATGGAAGAGCAAAACGCGACCGTTGAAACCTATTGCCATGGGATCGATGAATTTCTGGTAAAATTCAAAGAAAGTCGAGATTTAGAGGCTTTAACCACCATCGATGAATGGAACGTACTCGGCATGATCTACCATCTGAAAACTGGGGACGCCAAATCGGCTATTATCAAATACTTGGTCTCTCATGATGAAATCTTTGATATATTTACGCTATTTTGGAAGAGCCTTGTGAAAGGAAAATTCTCATTTTTTCTCAAGTTGAAGAAGAAGAAGTTGTTGGCTCTGTTGAATATTATTGGCAATCTAACTGATTGTTCGGATGAGTTCAACTATGCCTTTGGTAATAAGGGACTCCTAACTTTGCTCTTTCGCGATCTCAAGACGAGAAATCTCGGCGACAGCCTTATCTGTTACGCACTTAAGATCATCTACAACAGTTGTTGGAGAGTTCCCGAGAACAGAGTGATATGTCGAGAGTTCGTTGATACCCTCCAGGAGTATTCACAATCGAGGAGCCCTGAGATTCAGGCCATTGCCTTCTTGGCGCTTTCCTACATCGTCGACAAATCAGAAGTTCATAAGATATCCCTGAATGAACCGTGTCTGAAATTCCTCCTACACGCTCTTAGGTCGGCCATGAATGAACCAGATGGCCGATCTCGGGTCTACTTCTACTCGACATTCGAGGTCCTTCAAGGACTCAACCAGCTGGCCATCAACGACTGCAATAAGATTCTCATCGTAAAACTTGGTTGGATAGACGTCCTGGAGCGAATCTTGGTGGACGAAGGATCGAGCAACGAAGAAAAGCTTTGGGCTGCCCGTGGAATATGGCAACTTGCTTTCAAAGAAGAGAACAAAGTCAAGATACGTCAACGCACAACACTCCTCAACAGTAAGTGGATGCTTACAATTCAAAAAATTATATGACATGTACTAAGACAAAGGTTGCTCCGTACTCAATATATTACAATAATCGAATTATTAAGTTCAGCCCTAGACCAAACACTAAACCTCGCCCTAAACGAAAACCTACCTGCATTTACACTGCAACCAACAATAGTCGATTTTTCTCACCATTAAGTTTGCATAGCAACTACCGGTAAACACTACAAAAAATAAAAATTGAACAATTTACCTCTGAATTCAGGATTCGAATTAATTTCACAGGTTTTGTTGCAGTGTAAATGGAAACTTCGGTAAGATACCGAATTTTGCTCACATGACTCTCCTCGCTACCGTTCTTAAGCGCATGCAGGGCACTGATAAGTGGCGCATGAGCCTTACTCACCCAATACTCGGTACGGTTAAACTTCGCCGGCTTTTTTATGGGTTTTTCCAGTGATGTACATGGTAGTCCCCCCCCCCCCCAACAACAACAAAAATCTACGATTTTTTCAAAATAGTTTTTGGGATGTGTAAATGGGCATCCCGTCTAAAAGCCGAAATGAATTCCTAACCAGAACTTCAAACCTTTGACGAAATAGTGCGCCCGGGGCAAAAGTTATGAATGTTTATGTCAGGGGACAGAACCTATATAAGTATGGTTAAGCTCTTTTTCTTCTTCATTTTGATTACAATCATTCTGTCAAAATGATTAGCGTGGCCTTAAAATACATTTTAAGATAAAACGAGCAATCAAAGATATAAATGGACATCATTGTTCACTCACTGTCCCCTATCTTATACACACAAATACGCTCTCATTTCTCTTTCTGTTTCTTACTTCTCGTTTTATGCTTCTGTTTCCCTTAGCTTTTTGTCATTTTGTTTGAAGTCTACCTATTTTTTTGTATATCAACCTCAAGTCTACATGGACGAGTAATTTCAAGAAAAGTAGATATGTCTACACGACATTAGTGTAAAATGATTCATTCATTCTTAATGTCAATTATGAAATGATTGCTGTGTTTTTCCTACATTATAATGGATAGCGCTGAAGAAGATCAAGGAAACGACTAAACATTCTGCTGTGAAGGAAGCCTGCTCGGGCGCACTCTTCGTCATCAATGAAGTGTTCGACATCGATGACGAGTTCAAAGGTCACATGGTGAAGAGTGAGGTATCGTCCGGTCATGTGGAGGGTCATATTATGATTAGCTACCAGCATGCGAGCCAGGAGCGAATGCTGCAAGTCAAGAGCTATCTGGAAGAATCTGGATACAACATATGGATGGATGTGGACAAAATGAGTAGGAATTATTATACCTTTCCTCCCTCCTTTGATCATCATCCATTCTTCTTTTTCCACCGTTGTTTCTTCCTTTCATTCATTTTTCTTGTTTGTAGCGTGGGTCTAACCATTAAATGAAGGAATGATGGCAGTGGTTTAATGGAAAGGGAGGTACCGCGGACCTATTATTTGTAGGTGGGTGACATTCAAAATAACGAGAACTTTATGAAGGGGGACGGTCTGTGAGGGGGATATCATCTTCATTTCACGCTCTTACTCTCCTTTCATCATTAGATGGACATGTAGGTCATTGTTTCTCAACCACTGCATGTTAGTTATTTCATTTTTATATTAAAGAAACCATGCACATGTCTGTCTTTTACCTCTTCGTTTTGTATGCCTACATCCATTCTTCTTTCATGTCTTTGGTTTTTAATGATAACAGAAGGTGACATACTGGATTCCATGGCCAAGGCAGTCCAGAGAGCTTCAGTCGTACTGGTTTGCATGAGTCGTAAATTCAAAGAGAGTCAACACTGCCGCACAGGTGAGAAAAAAATGAAAAACGCATTTCTGCGGTAAGTGGCGTAGCAAGGTCCGGCCATGGAGAGGCAGTCTTGTTTATACTAAGGGGCGGAAAGGGGCACTGGTCCAACTAGGAAGATAAATTTCAGAAGGGTAAGGCCATCTAATGTGGGAAAGGGGTTTCGGTCGTCCGTTACATCATCTCTTCATGTAACTACCTATAGTGGCCACCCCCTTCTTTTTGCTGCCAGTGTCTCTCTTTCTTTATTTTTTCTTTTTGCCATTCGGAAAGGGATTCTCTTTGTGGGAAGCTTGAAACAGATGGGGGAGGGTAAGCTTGAGCCTTCCAAGTTCCCCCTCCCAATCTGGATCCTGTATTTTACCTTGACTCTGCTGTTTCTTTTGTTTGATTTTATACGTATATTTATCAGAAGCGACATACGCCTACACCCTAAAGAAAGACATAATTCCCCTGATGCTTCAAGATCAATTCACCCCAGAGGACTGGCTCGGTGCCCTCATGGGGATGAAGAAGTATTACCCCATGTTTTCAGACGATCTCATGAGACAGTGCCTACCCGATCTGGTCTCTGAGCTAAGCGATAGAGGCAAACGTGAGAAACTAGATCTGACTTTGCCGTTGCTTTATAAAGTCACAGGTAAGCCATCTTTGAGAACTCTTCTGTATTCGTCGTAACAGCAGTGCTTTTTATACGTTTTCTGTAATTACTGATTAGAAAAAATAATATCTACTTTGTAGGTATTTGTATTTCTTCACAGAAAGAGAATGGTCTAAGAATCTAAACGGTCTTTTCTAATATCGATAAAACATTTAAACACTGATTTTCGTTCCCCATCTACATAATAAAAACGGGTCTAAATCACATAAGTGAAACGGATTTTGCATGAGTTTCTCTGGTCAAACCTTACATATAAAACTCTATAACTCTTCACGACCGTCTAGGTGCAAGCAATCTAACAACCCATGTACCACCAGAAAACGACGTAGACTGCAGTGGAGGAATCAAAGATGACAAACCAACAGGCAATGAAGACGAGAGGAATTCCCACTCGCAAAAAGTGGTAGATTTGGTCCCGTGGGATGAAGATGTAGGAGAATGGCTGAGATCGCATGGAATTGATATGAGCAAGGACATCTTCAAGAAAGTGGAAGGCATCCGCCTGAAGCAGATCAAGAAACTACTAAACCTGGCTCCAGAATTTTGCCTGACGTCTCTGAAAGACGAATTGTGTCTTAGCTTGCGGGACGTCCTCTCGCTAGTAGATGCGTTGGAGAAGCTCTCAATTTGAAGAATCAGTCATGCACCATTCATTAATAGATGCAATTGGAGATGTAGGATTACAAAGAGAGTGGCGGGGCAAGGAAGTGAGCATTTTCTTCACCATTACAATTCTCAAAAATATTTTCAAAGCAACGAAAACAGGGACAGAATAACGTTTAACAGAATCTCTGATAAATTGATGCATTTGTCTGAACATTAATCAGTGCTAATTTGATAGACATTTTATTTATCTACTGGGATGGTATGAGAGATGATATCCCCACGTAAACAAGAGAACGAGAGAGAGAGAGAGAGAATACGGAGGAAGGAAGATGAAGGTTCACATTCTGTACCAAAGGATTTTTTTAACATAACCCCCTCGTGTCTTCAATAATAGCATGGGATCAATTGGACAGATCATTTTTAAAAAAACATGTCCATGCACCTCAAACACTTCAGTAATGTCCGTTCCCAATAAAAGAAAATGCCGAGAGGTTTCTATTCCGTCTCGTGATTGAATTTCGACTGTTATTTCTCATTAGTATATTTCAACGTATTTCTCCCGTATGAATCACACCATTGGTTTATGATGCGTTCACACTTAGATTTAGCTGTATGTCCAGGGGGTGTTTCACAAAGATCCTAAGTCGAACTTTACTCTAAGTTAGACTTAACATCTATGGATAGCCATTTGTAGCCTTAAGATGGAATAAATTCAAAAGCGAAAAATAAATTACTTTAGACTTTCTTTAAATTCCATTTCAAGAACATGAAATCTCCTTGATAATAGAAAATATGAATGATTGAATCAACATTTTATGCCTTGTAAAACTTTTACAAAATATTTTTCAAAGATTCTAACGGTTTTCCATAATTGTTAAGTCAAACTTAGAGATAAGTTCAACTTAAAATCTTTGTGAAACACCCCTAGTACTCATATCCATCCTCGTATTTGATCGACCTTGCTTCATAGTTCTCATAATGAAGGATGGCATGAAGTTTTCAAGTTGAATGAATGACGTCATTCATTATCAGCATGAAACATATATGATATGTTTAATTGTTCACTATAGTTTGTATATTCAAATGCTATATTAATGCAAATTAACGCGTATTACCTTACACGGAATTCAATCTTTCTAGATATGTACACAATTTTAATACTTCTATCTTTTTTAGCGAAAAATTGTCTTTCTACTTTCTTTATTAGGCTATGTAATTCAGTAGTATCATTACGAGGATATCCAATAATATGTATACATAATATACTTATTTCCTTTTGTTTTGTTTGTTTTATGACTGTGATGATTTAGTATTCATAGATGTTACTTAATTTTGCTGTTACTAAACAGGCCTCATGTGTACTTCCCAATGTTTAGGATTAAAAGACGAGCGAAATAAAAGTTGGAATATTTGCCTATATTCCCCAATCCCTAAGTTTTGGGACGAAAATCAACCACTTTTTTTTTTGGTAATAGTTTTTTAACAATAATATAATAGTAGTAATAAGTACATTATTATGTAATGCATTATCCTCAAAATGTCTCTATGCGCTTTATATAGTATGGCAGAATTTTAAGAGATAGTTACAATCGCAAATAATTTAGATGTAGTATACTTTCTAATGGTATACCTCAAGGGAGTGTCCTCGGACCAATCTTATTTTTACTTTTTATTAATGATATAGCTCAGTCTTTGAAGACATGTACCTGTAATATGTTTGCTGATGATGTTGTTATATATACTTCTCATAAAAATATTGATGAACTAACCATATTGTTACAAAATGATGTTCATTCAATACATAGATGGTATACTCAGAATAATTTAAAAGTTAATGCTGAAAAGACCAAAATTATGCTTTTAAGTACACGTAAAGCATATAACTTGAATATATACATGGATGGAACGAAAATGGAACAGGTTCATGATTTTAAATATTTAGGGGTGGAAATTGATGAACACCTTACTTGGGATATTCATGTTAAAAGACTTACCAGATTGATTTCTATGAAACTGTTCTCATTACGTAATATGTCCCAATATTTAGATGTCAAATCCTTAAAGCTCATGTATAATACAATCATTTTACCTTGTATTGACTATTCATGCACAGTCTAGGGAAATTGCTCAAGGCAAAATAAAGAGTTACTCTTAAGATTACAAAAGAAAGCAGCACGTATAATTACATCCAACTATGACTATGAAAATGTTAGAGGTGATGATTTAATAAAATTAATGAAATGGCAATCATTTGACGAAAGGAGAAATTATTTTTTTGCTGTTTTAATGTATAAATCTGTACATGGTATTGCACAAACACATCTGTGTAATGCTATTGAAATGGTCTGCGTTAGACATAACTTAAATACTAGAGCCGCTGACAAAACAAATGTAATATTACCAAAACCTAATCTAGAATGCTTTAAGAACAGTCTTATGTACTCAGGAGGAATTATCTGGAACTCATTACCTATTTACTTACAGAATTCTACATCTATTTCTTCATTTAAATACCTTTATAAAAGATTGTACTTTCATTAATGTTGTAAATAACCAATATCCTCATGGATGTGTGTTTATATATCTTTTTTTTTTACCCTACTGTAATAAATACAAGTTTGTTAGTTTTGTTTTTTCTTACATTGTTTCAAATCATTCTTTTTGTGATTCTGGGTAAACCTTTGAATGTAAATCTATGTGTCTAGATGCTGGTTATTTTATAAAAATGTTATATTATTCAATATCCATGTAATCTATTAATGTTTTACATATTTCAATGATATTTGTATTTCATTGATAGTTTGTATTTCATTGTTTGTATTCTACCATGTATGTATATACAGGACCAATATGAAAAACAGCCTTGGTTGATATTGTCATCCTGTATAAATATTTTCAAATAAATAAATAAATAAATAAATACTACAGATTAAAGGAAAAAATGCAAATATACCAAAAAATAAGCAAAAAAAATTAACAAAATTTCATTTATTAATAGCTCCATAAAAATAACAAAATGAAGAATTAAAGATAATATATGACGACAACAAAGTGAGAGGCTACAGAACAGAGCAAAGTATGATAAGGCAAATCAAACATTATTTGATGGATATTCTACACTATTACAAACATATACAAATTGAATTTAGATTACTGGAAGAGTTGTGTTTTCAAGAGACTCTTGGAGATATTCTGAGTAGAAGCATCCCGTATGTCCTGTGGTTCTAGGGAGTTACGCAGAAAGTTGCTTAGCGATTGTGTCAACGTTGATCGCTTCAGTGTTTTATTTTCGAATCTCTATGTACTTCTAACCAATTAACCTTTTGAGCAAGCGGATGTTAAGCCGGTAATTTCGGTTTCCTGTTGGAAAGATATGACGTGGTTCCACCTACCCAAAATAAATAACAATAAATCGCTCTGTACTAGAAGATAGACTCTGACTCCTACTTGAAACACTTTATTATGTTTGAATTCGTATTCAGAAGATTCAAATAAGTGCTTGAAAAGGCATTCTTTTTGAAAGATTTTAGGTTCGGCTCCCACCTTCCTATTCACCTTTTACTGTGTTAAATGAAAAATTTGATCTTTTGCATTTTTCCTTTGTTTTTATGTTTGCTAAATAGAATGACTAGGGGCAGCGTTGTTGCACTTGAGAGGGGGGGGGGGGGCTCCAAATTACCCATATAAAAGAGTGCAAAAAATGCAGAAGGAAATTACATTATGTTTAAAAACCTTATGTAAGCTCTGTAATGCATTAGAATGCCTATTTTAAACAATTATCTCAAAATGTAAAAGTTATCTATTTCGGACTTTAATTAATTAAGAAATTAAGTGCCCTTTACCTTTCTAGGAGAAAAGTTGGGAACTCCTGAACTCCTTTATAGGAAACAATCTGGGCTATATCCCTGTCATAATATGCTTGTCATACATGTCATAGACATAGGGGAATAGATAAAAATTAATGTATTTTCTATGGATGAGTTCATGAAGTATTTTCTTTGCCTTAATAATCGAAACACTTTCGTATTAATTAATTTGTGTTGCCCCCCCTCCCCCCTTGCCTTAAAAGTAAAAAGAAAAGTCGCTATATTCCTGAAACCCCAGGCACCGGTTTAGTCAATGGGCGAGTGGGACCGGGCTTTGTCAAACTGCGCATCACGAATTTTCCCAGTAGTACTTTCAGCGTCCAGTGTAATGTATAGATATAGGATATTATTAATCAAAACTGAATGAAGCTGCCACCATGGACGCACAGCAAAACCTGACGGTAAAGCAAAAGGCGATGGTCGAAGCTCATTGCCATGGGATCGATGAATTTCTGGTAAAATTCAAAGAAAGTCAAAAATTAGAGGCTGTTACCTTCATCGATGATCGGAATATACTCGGCATGATCTACCATCTGAAAACTGGGGACGCAAAATCGGCCATTCTCAAATACTTGGTCTCTTATGATGAAATCTTTGAGATATTTACGCTGGTTTGGAAGAGCCGTGTAAAAGCAAACATCTCCACTTTCCTCAACTCACAGACGTTGTGGACTTTCTCGTATAGTATTAGCAATCTAACGGATTGTTCGGAAGAGTTGTGCTATGCCTTTGGCGAGAAGGGTCTTCTAACTTTGCTCTTTCGCGATCTCAAGACGGGAACTCTCGGCGACAGACACATCAGTTACGCACTGACGATCATCTACAACTGCTGCTGGAAAGTTTCCGAGAACAGAGTGATATGTCGGGAGTTCGTTGATACCCTCCAGGAGTGTTCACAATCGAAGAACCCAGAGATCCAGGCCGATGCCTTCTTGGCGCTTTCCTACATCGTCGACAAATCAGAAGTTCATAAGATATCCCTGAATGAACCGTGTCTGAAGTTCCTCCTGTTGACACTTAAGTCGGCCATGAGTGAACCAGGTCGCCGGTTTCACGGCTACTCGACATTCGAGGTCCTGCAAGGCCTCAACCAGCTGGCCATCAACGACTGCAACAAGCTTCTCATCGTAAAACTTGGTGGGATAGACGTCCTGGAGCGAATCTTGATGGAAGAAGGATCGAGCAACGAAGAAAAGCGTTGGGCTGCCCGAGGAATATGGCAACTGGCTTTCAAAGAAGAGAACAAAGTCAAGATACACCAACGCACAACACTCCTCAACGGTAAGCGAATGCTTACAATCTTTAAAAATATATGACATATGCTACACTGTCGCTCATATATTTGGAATATTTTTGTTTTACCCCAATTTATGGAATTATTTTAAAAATAATTTAAAACTGATAGATCTAGATAATATTATACATTCTCAGATTTTATTGAATAATAATTTGCCAATGTGTGTTTTGCGTGACTGCTAAAGCATGGACGGCCATGCATTATGGCTCAAGGCATGGGCACACAGAGGATTTGTTTATGTTGGGGACCGGGGTAAAATGCAATAAATTATTGAAAATTTATTTCATTTTCTTTGTTTTTTAAAAATATTTATGGAAACTGCCCCTACCCTAGCCCCCGCTGCGTACAATCATGGTTCAGTGATAAAGCAATGGCCTCCTAACTGTGAGGCCCCAGGATCAAAACCGTGTCGATGTGCTTTATTAGTGCCCATTTGTGGGGCATTAATCCTCATTACTGTCATTTATAACTTAAGGGCGGTAGTATAGTTGATAAGCATTGTAGCATACACATGCTTTAGCAGTCACGCAAAACACACATTGGCAAATTATTATTCAATTAAATTTGAGAATGTATACTATTATCTTGATCTATTATTTTAAAATTATTTTTAAAGTAATTCCATAAATTGGGGTAAAACAAAAATATTCCAACTATATGAGCGACAGTGT